TTCCAGTTGGTCCCCTTTTTAAGGGACACACATTACCATGAGTTCTTTTGATTTTTTTGTAATATTTAAATTTGATCCTTCGCTATTAAGCAGTGATCACAAAGTGCCAAATTTTATCAGCTAAAAGGACATTGGTAAGGCATTGGTGATTTCTGAAGCAGACTTCAGGGAATATTCATCTTTTAGGAGCTTAAAAAGCCAATGTGCAAATATCCAGGAGTATTTGCCAAACACTAGACTCAGGCTGAGGAGCTGACAGAGAGATATGATGCCATATTAAGTCTACAGGGTGTTACATAAGACTTTTGCTGCAATACCCTTTATGATGGGGGAGCTCTTGGAAGCCCCACAACCACAGACTCTTTCTTTGTACATGTCAAAAAGCCCAAAATTGTGTTATAAAAATTTTATAATCCAAGAGTCTGTTTCAGATATTGTTTCTAACATGAAGCTGTCCAGCTTCTGAGACCCCTCCCATCTGGGTATCCTGGGGGACACATGCCACATAGTATGTGTTTGGTTACATTGGCATGGCTGAATATAGATTTTACTATAGAATATAAATTGGAGATAGGCTCCTAAAATTTTAAACCTCAAATATGACCAGTTATAGAATATATGTGGACATAGAAACTGTGTATACAGAGGAGGAGTTTTTGGGTATTGTGGCATATACCAGTAATCAATGCTTCAGGGAGGCCACGGCACTGAGAGGCTGAGTTCCAGGCCAGCCTGGGATACACAATGAGACCCTGTATCAGTGAAAGAAAATAAGGAAAGAGGAAGGAACTCCAAGAGATATGTATTTGTAGCACATTTTTGTGTTTAATACAGGTTCTAAAATCCCTGGACTTATCTTTCCTCAAAGGGTGTGTATGTCTCTTTTTGTTGTACACTTACTTTGATGGCTTTGGGAAATGCTAGCTTTGTTAAATTGACCTTGGGGTTGCCTTTGCTCCTGTTTCAGATTAGTCTCAGTTTTAAGGGATATTCTCTTCAGAAAGCTGGAGGACAAAATGGAGAAAGTGAGGTATATGTATCCAATCATTCACCCACTTACCCTACCTCAGTGTAGCCATGAAGGAATTTTATAGATAAAACTAAAGACCCATAATCAGTTGAATCTAAGTTAATGAAAAAGGAGACTATGTAGTAGGGTGGGTATATGTAGAAGGCATCTATCTATCTATCTATCTATCTATCTATCTATCTATCTATCTATCTATCTATCTATCTATCTCTTTTTGAGGCAGGATTTTTCTATGTAGTCTTGGCTATCCTGGAACTCACTTTGTAGACAAGGTTGGTCTCAAACCCAGAGATCCTCCTGCCTATGCCTCCTCCCAAGTGATGGGGTTAAAGGTGTGCACCACCATACATGGCCTAGCTGGAGGACATTTAATAGGGAGCTCAGGGCTAGTTTGGGGATAGGGCTCATTTTGTAGAGTGATTGCTTACTAAACACAAGGTATCCAGGGTTTGATCCTAGCCCTACATGAACTCCAAGTGGTGCCACAGGGAGGAAAATGTAGGAGAATTAGAAGCTTATGATCATTCTTCACTACAGAGCAAGTTTGAGGCCAGCCTGAGCTATGGGAGAGAAAGCTCAGACATTCCCATGGTGTAATGAAAGACATCTTAAGAAATGAGAAGTGTGTATCAGGCTTCCATGTCTTCCCCCAGGCTTGCGTGGCCTTGGCCCATGAGTGCAAAAGGGAGGCAGCTGTCTATAGTGTGAACAAGTGCTGTACTAGAGGCTAGAAATCACAGAGTTGAAGCTCTGTGCATCCTGGGTGGGGCAAGGCAACAAGTGAAGGCACCTTATAAGGATTCTGGGAGCAAGATAAAAATATCCCTGGGAACTGCCTGTCTCTACCCACCTCCCCGCCCCCAGAGCTGGGGTTATAGTCATGCACAATTTTTAAGTCGTGGATTAATGCTTAGGTCCTCATGCTTGTGTAGCAAGTGTTCTTACCCACAGAGCCATCTCCCTGTTCCCAAAGAAAAAAGAGGTTAAAAGCAAGCTCCCCTTATTAAAACCCAGGGTCACCTATTGCTCTAGAAAATTACTAACCTAGAAATGGGGGTCCCGATGCATCAAGATCATCTTGGTCACTTGAAACAGGACCCATTGTATAGAATGGCCTGACTGGCTATGGATGAAGGAGAGGGCTTGTGGTCATGTACCCAAAGGTTAAAGATGGGCATGATCTTAGCTCTAAATGTGAGACCCTGGACATCAGAGACTGAAAATGTATGCTGATTAGAATATAAGCAGCACCACTTGATAAATATCACCCAAGTCTAGAGCCAAAGGGGGAATCTAGAATTGAGAAGGTGATCCAGACAATGAATTAAATAGAGCAGAAACCACTGGCCATCTTTGGTTTTCTTAACTCTTCTACAAGAAACAATTCTTATCAGCCTTTGTTATACTGATCTGTTGTGGGATATTTGATCACACTGTGAAACCCCAAGACTGTGTTAACAAAAATCAACCTTGACTCAGGGGGTGGGGCCAGCAACTAGTTGACATGAATTAGCCATAGAGAATATGGAAGTTCCAGGAAGCAGGATAGAGAGATGCACAGGAAGGAGTAGGGAGGGACTTAAGAGAGTCACAGTCTTTTGGTTTGGGATGAATGGAGAGGAGCTTTCTTGCTGGGTCTCCGGCAAAAAGGAAGGCCAGCTAGTTGCTTCTTTGCCCTTCTGGGCTACCAGTTTTCACCCCAAATCTGAACCCTGCCTCTTTATTGGTAAATAGAATAATAGAGACTTAGTTAAAAACTACATTTGGTGGCAGCAGCAGAGCCAGTGACAGCAGGACTGGCAATCCCACCAGGCTGTGGCATGATGAGCAGAGAACTGACTGTGGGGGTAGCAGGCCTGCAGACAGTAGCTGAAATATCAGTAGATTCAGGCATAGCCACTAAGCCAACAGAAAAACAGGACTGAATATTTACTTATTAAGGCATTTCTCTTAGTGTGTGTGTGTGTGTGTGTGTGTGTGTGTGTGTGTGTGAGAGAGAGAGAGAGAGAGAGAGAGAGAGAGAGAGAGAGAGAGAGAGAGAGAGAGAGAGAGAGAGAGAGAGAGAGAGAGAGAGAGAGAGAGAGAGAGAGAGAGAGAGAGAGAGAGAGAGAGAGAGAGAGAGAGAGAATCTTACAATCTCTGAATCCTTTGGTAGAGTTCTTCCTTGTGGAGGGTGAGTGGAGAATGGGAGTCTGGGTAAACAACAGGCAATGTTCAGTCCAAAAGTGGTGGGCCTGGGTGAGAACTCTATTCTTGTCAGACTCTGAGTGCTGTGCTGTGGGCTATGATGTCAGTGTTGTGCTTGCATTTCCCCAACCAGACTTCCTTTCTACTTGTCTTACTGTGTTAATTCTTGAGGTATACTTTGTAATTTAAGTGGAATTTTTAGCATCTGTGAACTCACAGGATGCGTGTTAGTATCACTAACACACAATTAAGAAAACAGTCCATGTATTTCATTGAAGCATCTTGCCTGATACTGCAGAGGTCCCCACACCAGGCTTTGCAGGCATCCCAAGCCATGCTCCTGTCTCTTTGGTAAGATAAAAGGTATAACAGAAGATGGTGCTAAACAGAAGGCATTCAAGACAAGGGTTGTTCTTGATACTTTTATGAGGATGTTGTGGAGGAGGGCTGCTACCTGCTCCAGAGGTGGCTACACTTCAGTGCTGAGAGGCAAAGGGGCCCTAGTTTGCACACCTTCCTGCCCGGGGCAGTCTGGCTGAAAGGTACTATATAGATATCAGTTATCATCACCCACATGATGACAGTGATTATTTTACATATGGTAGTGATAAGGGTGAGTGCTAAGGTCTCATTTGTATGCCAGCATCTGGCAGGCTGTCACACATCTGCAGAAGATAACCTAAATGGCACTATTAATATGTCCCCTTTGCATTCTCCCCAAGGCATCTGTCTCCTCAAATGCCTGAGAAAGTTCCTTTCCCTCTTGAAGGACTGGAGGCAAAATTCAGAAAACATGCCACCTAGGCTGGGGAAGCATAAGCTCAGAGTGACAGCTGGCTGAGCCCAGGCAGATTCCCGACTCTCAGAATAGATGTGAGGAGGGGAAGGCGACCCCCATCTATGAATTCATTCTATTAGCAGCTGCTTTGCCAGGAAAAAATGTACAGTCAGAGACAGCTATTCCTAGGCCCACACAGTGTGTCATGTCTGTTCTGGGATCAATGATAGATGCCCAGTCCTAGTCCCAAAGGCCAGCTTTCAGTGTCTCTAGATGTATCTCAGTGCCAGAACCTGGTTAAAGACACCTTCTCTAACAATATTCAGGAACTCTAGGATGTCTCTGTGGTAGGGACTAATGAAATGTGTACCCATGGTACAAATATCCTTTCCATGTGTGTGTGTGAGTTGCCTGCCTGTGTGTGGCTGTTGCTCTTCAGATAGCCTCACTCCTCAAAAGGACAGGATTTCCCACTAGCTTATAACTTACCAATACATGTGAGTGTACCTCTACCTCCATACTGCTGGTATTATGATGGGTGCCATCCCATCTGGGCTATTTTTCCCAAGTTCTGGGGCTTAAACTCAGGTTCTCATGATAACCAAGAAAGCACTTTACCGGCTAACTGATTTCCTCAGCTTGGCTTTAGCACTTTTCAAGTTAAGTTTCCAAGTTAGGTTGCATAGTGAAGAGTCTCCTATAGCTCCACTCTGACTACCAACTTCAATGTCACACTTGCTGTGTGCAGCAGTGGTCAGGACCAGAATGCTGAATCCATTGGACTATAGCAATGGGTCATTCAGGGCTCCTGCTCTCATGAAATGGACATTCTCATGGGGGCAAACTAAAAACGCACACTAAAACATTTCAAATCCCAGTGAGCATGATGAAGACAGCAAGAATACAGCTGCTGGCAGCCACTTAGAAACTAGTGGGGGAGTCTCTTTCTCCCCATCCCACTCCTACCTCAGACCAGTGGGCTAATGGCTTGCAAGGAAAGGATACTAAAACTCTGATTGGTTATCTCAAAGTTCCACAGATTAATCCTCAGGTCATCAGCAGACATGTAGGTCTCGTAGTCGCTGTTGACAGAGATGGAGTTGATGTGGTATGTGTGCGCATTGGCAAACACTCTTCGTGGGGTGGCCTCCACCATCAGGTCCATGGGTCTCAGGACGGGCACCTAGGATATGAGAGGGGCACAGTGCTCAGAACAGAAAGTTTTCAGTAGGAAATGTGTTGTGCTGTGTCCTGTTTTCAGTAGGAAATGTGTTGTGCTGTGTCTGTACCACTAAACAGTAAGTCACAACCCTGAAGCCAAGAGTTATGGGGTGGTGGTGGGGACTCCATTAAATCTTTATAAACCTGAAACATTTCCCTAGTCCCCTTCAGGGGACTTGTGGGAACACAGTCTTGTAAGTTCTCACTCCCAGTCAGTTTGCACATTTTAAAATTTAAACATTTTTGTTTTTTGAAAATTTTACACGAGTGCTATGTTCATATCATTTCCACCCTTCCCTCTTTCTTCAATTCCTCTCACATTCATGACCTCTTCTTTGGTTATTATTGCTACACACACACATATGTATGCTTATATGCACACACTTACAAACACCCAACCTACTGAGTCCATTTACCGTTGCTAATATGTACTTTCTTTTTTTTTAAACAGGAAATCTATTCAGGAAGGAGATGGTGGGAAAATCTTAGGAATGAGTCATTTAGCTTCAACTTCAATTCATCTTTCTTGGGTTCTCTCGTAGTTTACCTTTATGGGCACCTTTAGGAAAGTATTCCACCTCACAAGACCCTAGTGACCCCAAATGAGCCATGAGTATATGAATACTTGTTGCACTCTGGTTGGCCTGGGAACATCTTTGTTTACACCTAGTGTCCTTGAGTACCAGTTAGGTAGTGCCACATTCAAACTGGCCCCTCGTTTGGACAGTAAATCATATGACCACTCTTCTGAAATATAGAAAGTGTCCAGTAAATTTTCACTGAATCACTGAGTAGAATAAAAGTCAGCAAGCATTCTCTTCATGGCCAGTGGGGGAGTTAGGCCTCTGAGAGAGTGTTTTCTTTAGGGAATGTGAACAAAGACACCCAAAGAAGCTAAACTACACAGCACAGGCATGGCTCTTTAATAGAAACAGGGAGATAAAGAGCTAACAGGGTCTTTTCTTCCCTCACAAAGACTCTTGTAGGATCCCTGGCTGATGTGACAGCAGGTGGTAGATTAAGACTAGCTTCTGGATCAACATCACCCCAGGTGGCCCAAAGCAGGTTGGCTTCCTGAAGGGCAGTCATGTGACATCACCTTCTAGAAGGCAGTGTTCTTCAAGCTCCACCTTGGAGTTGTTCACAGCTCTCTCTCTCTCTCCCTCTCTCCCTCTGCCCTTTTCTCTGTGTATATCTGTGTATGTGCAAATAAACAGCTCTAAGAAAACATAAAGGTCTAGACAGATGAGATGCTGGGTGTTCGAGATGCTAGTGGTGGGGTCTTCTGTGTGCCAGGATAGAGGGAGGGGTTGATCTCTTGGGCCTTATATGCCAGGAATAGATAATGATTTTGCAACACATGTAGGGGAGTAGGAGGCCTGTGCTCTGAGCATAAGTAACCATCAACTGATGGTCTGGGATGTGCCCCATGCTCTGGTAATTGGCTGAACCTGCTCTGTCCTCTTCCTTTTGAAGATAGTCATGGGGATTTATTGAGTTATTCACTATCCATCCCACCCACTCTTTCAGCAATACCAACTGAGCATTGTACAAAGTCCCAAGGGCTCAGAAAGTAAACACAGGACCCCTGCCTCACCATCATATGGATGCCATAGCTGGGGGTGGTGGTGGGAGTATGTGAATGATTTTACATGACAATAGAGCACATGGCCCAAGGAAGAGGCATAGTGCACAGCAGGCCTTGAGAGGCTTTTCCTGTGCATCAGTGAGTATGTAGGGATGGGAAAGATGAATGAGAGCATGTCACCAGGCCAGCAGAAAAGGGGTTCTAGACAGAGAAATAGGGCTAAAAGTGGGGGTGGTGGCAGAGTCCACTGTGAGAGTGAAGGTGACAGGGTAGATTCAGGGTGAGCTGCAAGAAGGGACTCTGCCTACATCAAGAAGGTGGGAAGAATGCACACATTTGTGATGATCCAGACATGATCAAGGTCAAATTTTGACCAGACCTTTCTGGAGGTGTAGTGGAGATGAGTTGGTGGGCTGAGCTCCAGCCTTTATGGGGAGGTGTGCATGAGTGAACAACAGCTAAGGTTAAGGGCTTGTGTGAGTTGTGTGAGTTTCACAATGGATACAATTAAGCTTCCCCCATGAACTTGGCCTTGAAACAGTTACTGAAGCATCAGTGCCTGACCAGACACTCGTCACATAGAATCCCAGATAAGTCTTCAACAACTGCAAAACAAGTACTGGTGCAAAGTAGGATTACAAACAAGAAACAGAGAGAGGCCAAGTTACTGTTGCAAGGTGGCCTAGATATGAGAAGGCACAGACAAGATTTGATCTCAGGACCCATCTGGCTGCAAAGTGAGAGTTCTTTCCTCATCTCCAGCAGGCAGGAACATTGTACAGGGTGGGAACTGATCAGTGCTTTTATATACCTGGGTAAATAGCCAGGTGGGGTTGTGGAAGAGAGACATTACTGATGTCAAATCATGCTGTGGGAATGAAGCTTCCGTAGGCATCACAGATTTTCATAGCAAATGGACAGGGCATCTATGTTGAATGTTTTCAGAAGCAGCTGCCACCCACACTTTTACAGTTGGTCATAAAGGCGCTTGCACTTGGAGCCTTTCAGTGCTCCCTAGAGGTGCCTGAGTGCCAAGCTTCCTTGAAATCCTTGACCTCTAACTTGGTCCTTCATGTCTGCATTGGGTCTTCAGATTGCTGCTCAGGCTGTGTTTGATGCAGAAGGGAGCGTGACAACAGGATAAAGAGGCATTACAAAGTGGTAGCTGCCAGCCCAGGGCTGCTGCCTAATGTGATGAGCCTGGTTGCTAATGCAGGCTGACACAATCCATGATGGGTTGTATAATGGGGAAGGGCTCAGAGCAGGTGTAGGGGGATGGAGTCCTCTGATGCTTTGTACGAATAGTGTGTGTGTTTGTGTGTGTGTGTGTATGCATGGGTGTTTGCATGTGAGCATGTATACCTGTGTATGTGTGCATGGCTATGTGTGGAGGGAGTACCTGGATTATTCTTATGTGCAGGTAAAGGCTTGTCCTCTGCCCATAATTGCCTCATAAGGAAGGACCAGATGGGTGGATTAGGCAGCCCAGTTGGGACTGTGATTCCCGCATGGTCTGATTGTTCCTTCCGGGGCCATGCAGGGAGAAGAGTGGGGCATGATTTCAAGAATGACAGGCAATGTTTGGTCTTTCTTTGGAGAATGCTGTTCTGGCAGCCTTCTTGTGCTATGAGCCAGCCATGGTGTTTAGAACCCCAGGTGTCAATTCTACACCAGCCATGATCTCACTCAGCCTCTCTGGTGCCAGTCTTGGAAGGGGCTCCATTTGCAACCCTATAGGGGAGAATGCAGCCCAGTGTTATGGAGAGAGAAGCATTTGCTTTTGATTTTGGGAGCCTTAGCTTTTGATTTTGGGAGAACAAGGTCTTGATAAGTAGCACAGGCTGGTCTTGAACTTGAGACCCTCCTGTCTTAGCCTGTGAATGCTGGAATTATGAGCAAATGCCCAGCCAGGCCTGGCACCACTTAACTCAGCAGCAGCTTTTATATGAGGCTTCCTGGCAGCTGATAAAACTGCACCTAGGGTGACCCAAACTGGGATGCAGTAGTGTCCTTTCTAGGCCAGCTTGAATCCCTCCTCCTCTGCTCAGGTTCAGCATCTTCCTGAGGTTGGTTGTACATATGAGTATTCTCACACACTTGTGTATGCCATACTGGGAGGAAAACAACACGTTCCCATTTTTTCCTGGGCACCTGGCATCCTGTTATATTCACTGATTGATGTTCCTAGGTACAAAAGGCAGCCTGAGTCTGACCTGTCATAGCCTTACAGAGAGCTGTTCTACTCAATGCCCCTTTCCAGTGGCACTGTCTCAGACAGACCTTCTATGAACACCCCACATTAAGTGACACCTTGTTATCTACTGCCTGAGATGTTTTAAACACTTAAGTCAGTCATCAGTGAATTATCTTATCTTCATGATCCCTAAGGGACAGATAAGAAAGGCAAGGCACAGAATGGTTGAGTAATTAATCTGCAGTCACACAGTTAGCCCGAGGCAGAGCAAATATACCTGCACTCCTTGGCTCAGGAGTCAACCTGCCTCTCTGTCCTCCTGGTTCTGTACCAGGCTGCATAGAGGAAGGAGTGCTGAGCTGTACTGGAGTTCGTGTGAACTTCCAAGGAGCTATCACCCAAGCAGTCTTGTATCTCCTTGGGAGGTGGAGGCAGACCCAGAAAGGAGAGGATGCTGATGCAAGATGGACTAGAAATAGGGTTATGGTAGAGTGTGTATGCTCCTGGGAGTTGGGTCAGTAACTTAATTATTCACTCAACAAACACAATTAGATCTCTGTATCAGGCATGTCTCAGCACATATGCAGTCAAGCTTGCTTTGGTGGCATCTCTCTTCCTCTTCCTCCCTCTGTCCCTCCATCCCTCCCCTTCTCTCTCTCTCTCTCTCTCTCTCTCTCTCTCTCTCTCTCTCTCTCTTTCTTTTGTGCTGTATGACGTGGCTTCTCCAGCAAGGCTTCTCTGAAGGGTGCCATGTGAGCAGATGCTAGAAGGACATGAGGCAGGGGGACCCATAGATGCAAATGCACCAAGGCTGAAGCATGTGCAGAGCATCAGAGAACAATGAAGTTGTAGATGATTTGATGAGCAAAGGAGGGCTGGAGAAGATGCTGTGGTCAGGGTTAGGATGCTCTGGAGGCTGGGAGGAGCAGCCCACTCACACTGCCCAGGAGCCTCTGTTCTCATTGTAATGAAACCTTGAACAATATGGACGCTTGTCCAATTATCAAACCCACCTGGGGGGTAGAGCCTGGCATGATGCACCCATTATTAGAGGCTAATTCAGTGTAACAAACCAAATCGAGTATGTACAAAGACTGTCAAATAAAATAAGCCACTAACAAATTAAATTACTCCCCATTTTTGGCGGGAAGAATGCCAGTCAGTCATTTTTCATTTAAAA